GGAGAAGGAGAAGGAGAAGGAGAAGGAGAAGGAGAAGGAGAAGGAGAAGGAGAAGGAGAAGGAGAAGGAGAAGGAGAAGGAGAAGGAGAAGGAGAAGGAGAAGGAGAGAATCATGGGTGGGGGATGATTCAAGCTATTGCAACAATGCTGAGCATAGCATGGATGGCCACGAAGCACCTTGATGCCAGTCCCTGCCAAGAAGCAATGACTATCCCCAAACACTTGGGGGCACTGCCCCACATTGTCTGTCAAGGTTGCACATGTGTGGCCTTCAAAAGCTTGAAAGATAGCTCCCAGAGACCTTCCCAAAGTTGCCATCAATTTTTTTTTTAAATATGCTGGAAGGTGTATAATATTTAATATAGAGGGAGTCATCATACCAATTTAAATTTGTTTCTGCCCGGGCTGCATTGTTTCACCCTGCCCTGCATGACCCTTGCTTCCCCAAAAGTTATGCACCCCATACAGTAAAATGGAAGGAAAGGCTTGTTCTGCACACAAATTACACACACGTATCAATAATTAGTATATTTGTTGCATAAACACGTGCTGGGCTGGTCCTTGGGGGCGGGGGAAGAAGCAGTAAGCAAATTTGAGCCATCTCCAATTAGAAGCGCAAATCAAAACCCTGTGTGGCAGGAAGCCCCCAATTCAGGAGAAGACAAGCTGAATGTTGCCATTTAATGAATTTGTGGTGAGCGTTTTGCACAAGTGATCCTGCTCCAAGCAGACACAGGGGCAGGAAGAGGGAGAGGGAAGAGCTCCCCTTACCCAGCTTCCTAGCTTTCAATAGCCCCTGCTCTTTTTTTACGCCAAAGGATGAGCAATTTTTAAAAAAATGAGCTGCGGGACTGTAGCGAGGACGACGTTTCCCAGCCGGGAATCCCAGCGCCAGGGCTGTGGGGATAAGGGTGAGAACAGCCACCTCGTCTCGGGCCTCACGTTTGCTAGTCCGGGGCTAGCAGCTTCCCATGCAGGGGGCCAGCTGTGCTAGTGGGCCTCTCCCGGAGAACTCCTTCGGATACTGCCAGCCGCAGCTGCGGTCGAAAGCCGAGGGGGCTTGCTTCGGTGCAGTAATTAAAGCCTTGGTTCTCCCAGTATCAATGCCCGTTCCATGCCCAGGCAGAGCGAATAACGAAGTAACGAGCAGAAAAAGCAATCTAAACATTGATCTGCCATTTACAAAAGCTGCACGCTGTCTGTGATGTGCAAGCGGCCAGCGGGAAAACTGCCTCCTGCAGGCTGGACATCCCCTTACCCGTGTGGACCCTGTAGTGGGTCTCCAGCTGATGCTTGAGGCTGAACTTCTTGCCGCAGCCGTTGCACTCGTAGGGCTTCTCCCCGGTGTGGATGCGCTTGTGTCCTTTCAAAGTGCTCTCATCTCGGAAGCAGCTACCGCAGAACTCGCACTCGTACGGGTGGTCGCCTGCAACCAATACGGCAGGGTCAGAGGGGAACCATCTGTGGGCAAAGAGGCAAAGTCCGGCCCTGCCCACAAGGAGAAGCCCTTGAGTATGAAAAGGGCAGGAGGGTGGCGGCAAGGGAGGCTGCAGATGGTCGCCCCACCTGCAAGGGGTGCTTGTCTCAAACTGTTGCCTTTTGACACCATAGAGACAAGCACCCCTCCTGAGCTAGAACCTACCATTTAGTGGAGGACAGGGATGGGCCTCCAAGCCCTGGTTGATGGTCAGGGTCATTTTGGCGGTGGAAGGGCTGCCTGGGCAGGAGAAAGGAGACCCCACCAAGATGGGAAGCCCAGCTGTCACCTCCATGGAGGATTTGACAGAAGCCAAGGAAGGGAAATCTTGGCCCATCGATCCTCAGCGCCAGGAAGCTGAGTCATGATGACCAAGTGGGAACGGAAAAGCGAGTCTCATAGGCTCTTTCCTAACTGTTCAAAGTTGGCCTCTTCCTTCCCCACCACCACAAGCTTGTGACGATGGATGCAGAAGCTTTAACTGTCAATTTATAAAAGCTCATCACTGTATCCCCATCCACCTTATCATACCACGGGATTCTAGGAGAAGAACCTCCAGTGAGATGGCTCCTAAAGACAGAAGGACTGCCACGCTCCCACACTCCAGGGGCAGGTTTCAATCCTCTACAATCCCCAAAATGCCTGGCTAAGAAGACTGAACAAGGAGCGAGGTATTCTTCAGGAGGGTTTCAAACCCAATCTGGAACCTTGGTTCTAGAAATGTTCCAGAAGGGCCATGGCACCATTTGTCACAATGGGTAGCAAAACAAAATAAAAAATGACGACCCTTTCCAGATTAACAGTTTAACCAGTGAGCGTTCTGAAGTTGCCATGCTTATAAGTGCAGCCTTCCTTGGAGCCTCTGTGAAAGGGTGTGTGTGTGTGTGTGTGTGGAAAGGAAGCAATTGCTACTAAGAAGACCTCCTCTTCTGGCTGAGGAGCACATCTAGAAAAGGCCCTTGGGATCTCTGTGATGATGATGAGGCTGCCAGGGGGAGATGTGCAGAGACCTTTTTATCCTCCTCCTCAGCGTGTTGCTAATGAGGTGAGTCTATGGAGGAGGCCAAAAAGATGGGTTTGGTCACTCACCTTGGCGAGGTGGAAAACAAGACATGTCTTCCCACAGCTGCAAGACACGGAAACTCAGAATGCAAAGTTCTCCTCAGAGGTCCAGTGACCTCTTTTTCTATTTCCTTCTCCCTTTCCCTCCCCCCGCCCCCACTTTCTGGTATTTTATTAGATTTGCTTCATTTATATGTAGAGAGAAACAGTACAAAGATACTTTAATACTAAGTAATCAGCTTAAGATTGAAACCTTTATCATGCAACAAATACTTTGATGCAATTCGCAGCGGTTCTTTATTCAATGTTACACTCAACTTTGGGTAAAAAAGACAAATGATTTTATACTTGTAATACTGACATCCTAAATTGTAACTAAGCTTGACAGCATATCTTTCCCCCCCTCTTCTTTATCTGCAACAATCTAAGTTATCTAAATAATAGAATGTCAACAATTTTCAATTAATATTGTAAAAACTTCACTGAATTGAGACAATGCAATGTCTCAAGATGTATAACAACATAATAAAAAGGAAAAAAAAATGAGGCTTTTCCTGAAAACGCAGATGCCAAGGCAGCTTGGTGTGGTCCTGCTGGAGATGCCGATCATGAGAACAGGGATCTCCAAGTGGGGGAAATGCTTTCTAGTAGACCTTTGGGTCCAAGGTGGTGTCCAGAGAACTGTAGGATGGACAGACAAGAGGAAAGAGGGACCCTGTGGCACCTTCTTCTCGGCGTAGACCTTGTTTCTGGAGCAGCCAATCAACAGCCTGGGGAGCTTGGAAAGTGCTCCTTGTGGTCTTCTGCTGCTCTGCATCCGTGCAGCTGCCCAGGAGAAGTTCTCTGTGAATTGTTCACCCCTTCAGCGTTTTTCTGGCGCCGGTTGCTGAAAACGTCCAGATCCTGACCGCTGGCTCCACCAATCTCTCACTCCCAAATCTCAGGACTCCTTCTTGGGGGGGGATGGGGGGGAGGGAAAGGAGGAAGTGAGCAGCTTCAACTCCTTCTCCCTCTCTTTTAAAAAATATTTATTACAGAAGCTGAATGGAAGGACAATAAAGATAGATTGATCACCCCAGACTTTGTTCATGAATATTTAAATATTGCTGATTTGTCTTGTCAGTGTAATTACAATCTTCTCCAGGCTCGGCGAATCCGACGACCACAAGTTTATGGTAAAGAATGGCCCCACTGTATTTCACTTGTCCCGCTGCAGATGTGCGGAGCCGCCAAGCGTGTAATGCTGCTCCCATTTCATACATTTTCCTCCGCTGCTGAAAGCTTAAGTCATCCACAATGACCTACGCTTTTTCATTATCCCCATGTCAAACTGAACTCGTGCCTGAGCATAAATTCTCCTCCTTGTTATAGACTTGCAGGCTGCCGCCTCCACTTCCTTTTGGCCCATGATATTTTACTCTCTTTCTTCCCTCCCTCCTGCTGCTTCACACATTCTCCTCCTTGTTATAGACTTGCAGGCTGCCGCCTCCACCTCCTTTTGGCCCATGATATTTTACTCTCTTTCTTCCCCCCCTCCTGCTGCTTCCCCCCCCCCCCATGTCTTTAGGCACAAATTCTCTCTCTCCTAAATTAGGACCCCATGGCGTCAATTCCATCTCCACAGCAGCAGCAGCAGCTCCTCCTCCTCCTCCTCTTCTTCTTCTTCCTCTTCCCCTCTTCCTCCCCCCCTTCCTTTGCTGCAGAGGTGAACATGTTATTCAAAAGTAGGAGTGTACAAATCATCCCAGCTCCAATCCAAATTACCGATTTGATAAAAAAGTGTGTGTGGTCCTCAAATTGCCAAACTGATTCAAAAGCCCCTAATTCTGATCGATGCATCACAACAATTTGGTGATTTCCTTCAAACCAAATCTTTGCCCAGCCTTGCTCAAAAGACCCCCCAGAGACAAGAGTGGCCCCTTTGTAAGCCAACTGAACTGCTGCAGTTGCCATGATATCCCCTGCTTAGGTGAGGAGTTCTGCTCAAGCATCTGGCCAGGGAATCTCCATCCCTGGACATCAGAAGTGTAGCCAGAAAAAAGCCCCCATGTGTGACTTGAGGGGAAGAGATCATTTCTCATGGAGTCTAGGACAGATCAAGTGCTGCCAAGGCCCACGATGGAAATGTCTGACCTTCCCCAGTTCCAAAGCTGCTGGCAGTGCTCTGGAGGGTCTGGCACGTAGATGGTTGGCCTGGGGCTCAGCTGTGGAAAACTTAGCAGATCAACCCATGCTGGGAGCAAACTCATCTTCTGCGGCAAGAGGGAAGAGTTTAGAAACAGACATCGTTGGCTCTCCTCTTTCCTCCATCCTTTTTGGATTGTCCATGCAGGCAAGGGGAGTAGGCAGTAAGGCAGGTAGCGCATGAGAACTAGCGGGGAACCATGGCTTGGATGATGGAAAGGTGTGACTTATGCTTAATCCACCTCATGGGATTATTGTGAAGATCGCAGGAGATATTGTCCACTTGGCCAACTCTTAGAGGACAGAAGGGGTAGAAGTAGACAGAGAAAAATGGTCTCTGTTGGACTACCAACATTCTCTTCTTTGTTGAAGGCAGCCAGCGCCAACACTACTACTCACTTCCTACTAAGTGCCTTTTCCCAGCAACCCCTCTTCTTCCCCCCACCATCCCAAGAGGAAGATGTGCTGGTGGACACGTATGGCCTGCATTAAGACTGCTGTCGCATGGCTGCAAAGGGGTCTTCTGCCTTTATACTTCTCTAGGACTCCGTCACTACACTTCTGAAAAAGCTGCTCTGTTCCTCTGTTTTGGAAGCCAAAGGAAAACTAGTTTGCAGAAAGGGAAAAGAGGTCGGCCCTGGAGCTGACCTCAGAAATGCAGAATTGGCTGGGTTTGGAATGAAGGCCAGGTGTTTGTCTCTCCCGGCTAGATATCCTTCCTTTGATTTCTCAGCTTCCGTTTCCCCACTTGTAAGATGGGGATGGTGTCAACTAACTTCCCAGGAGCAGTCAGAAGAGTCCACGTGGTTGGAAAGACTTCGGAGTTCTGCTTCTGGTCAGGAGTGTCCACAGGGCGTGGTCAGAAAAGTCAAGATGGAGGCCGCAGGGGTGTGGCTGAAACTTCACCCATGTTTATGTGCAGCACACAGGGCGTCCCCGTGACTTTTTTACCACACTCTGCGGACACCCCTGCCTCTGCTGCTGCCCTTCTCTCTGTTCGGACTTTTTGTACTCTTAACCTTCTTATTCCAGGAGAGAAGAGCAAAGAAACACACACACACACAGTCTCCACCCAGCAACAGCCTCCTCCATGCATCTCTGTCGGGAGTGACAACAGATCTGTCAAATTAATTTTTCAAAGGAAGCAACCTCTGAGCATTTATGGTGCTCAGCTGCAGCAGAAGTCACCTCTTCCAACAGCTTGCCTTAGGTGGAGAGTTTTTCAAAGTGCTCGGAAATCATCCTTATTCCTTGCTTGCTGTTGTTCAGAATGGGCTCCCTACGCGAAACCGGAGGGGCAATCTTGAAGAAGCCTGCTTGGAACATCCAATTAGGCACACCGATCACACATTAACAGGTTTTAGTCCGGCATCTCCCAGTCTAACCAATGACATTTGGCATCGGAAGCGTCACAGAAGCAGGAAACTGGGCCTGATTCTTCGTCTACTGTGCACAAAGCCCCGACTGTCTGTCCAGGCTTTTTTTTTTTTCTCCAAATCCAATTTATGGCACGTTGATCCACTTTGCAAGGCCTCTTAATGAGGTTGACATTAAGTCCAGGACAAGCGGGACTAATTATGGCCCCCTCTGGCTGGCCGGCTGCACCTGGGGCCCGGCCCCCCCGCTCTTGTTACCTGGTGGACTTGTTAGCTAGCGAAGCAGCCGATCCAGAAAGCAGAGACCGGTGCCTCGCCGGCACAGCAACCTTTTTTTATCATACAAGCAGCCAAGTGAATCCGGGATCTGTCAGCGCCAGGAGCTCGCCTGGCCTGTGTACCGAACGCAGCTGCTGATGCTAAACATGCCGTACTGGAAGCAAATGGGGCTGGAGAGGACAGAATATTAATCAGCATGAATGACGCAGGGACCGACCCAGCTTCTTGCACGAGGCAAAGGGCACCCGAAGGCAAAGGACGCCACAACCCAACAGGTGCAGGTGAGCCCAAATGGGCCTTTCGGTAGTCACAGGACAGGCGGTCCAGGACGTGGAGCCCTTAACTCCCTCTCTCTCCCTCTCACACACACACACTATATGATTTGTGCTAAAAATGGTTGGTGCATCCGTTATGATCATGCTCAGCCAAGCAGTGCCCGCTGGTGCCACAGCTCCTGTGGCATCCCTTGGATGGTGCCCTCTGACACGCGCGCAACACAGAGACACAATTTAAAATGTCTCTTCTTATGAGAGTATCAGGTCTTTGTTCAGGAGGCTTGAGCTAAGAATAGACAAATGCATTTGACTCCTTGAAATCATTTTTTTTTAAGCCCACAGGGTCCTGCAAAATTTGTGATGGTGCCTTCCAAGGAGAGATGGGCAGGGCAACTCATACAAAGCGCCCATCAACAGCAGGGGCATTTTTAAGGTCTACTGTGGTCTTTGTATGCCATTTGGACCAGGAAGGGGAGGAGGCAGGGCAAAGTCCAACAGGTCAGATTAGCAGCTGCCCCACTTCCAATCAAGCACAGGCCCTTCTGAAGAGCGAGGGCCTTTGTGGGAAGTGAGAGTTGCCTGAATGTTTCTCAACCTTGGCAACTTTAAGATGGGCGGACTGCAGCTCCCAGAATTCCCCAGCCAGCATGGCTGTTGCGAAGAATTCTGGGAACTGAAGTCCACCCATCTTAACGTTGCCAAGGTTGAGAAACAGTGCTCTAGCCCATCTCTTTACAATCTTGGCAGCATCCAGATGTGTGGACTTCAATTCCCAGAATTCTTCGCAACAGCCATGCTGGCTGGGGAATTCTGGGAGCTGCGGTCCGCCCATCTTAAAGTTGCCAAGGTTGAGAAACACTGGCTTAAACACTTGCAATGGCGATGGAGGGAGGTGTAACTCATCTGGCGAGCTGGATCTGAACCCACTGTCTGCAGGGAAAGTCCACTGTCTTCTGCCCCAAGTTTTCTGAAGCAGATAACTGTAGAGCAAAAGCGTTCCTTTTCCTTTTTCCCTTCAGAGGCTGGTGACTTGAACTGGGAGGGCCCCGCTAGAAAAATCCATGGAGTCAGCAGGGGTCGACTTGACCAAGAAATCACCTTTTATTCTTTTTTAATGAAGGTGCACCTTGGCTTTCCCAGCGCTCAACTGAGAAAAGGGCAGAATATTAGGCAGAATCTACCCGGGAGGCGTATTGCTACAGAAGGAACCTGGGGGGAGTTTCATCCTCCTGCAATCGCTGTTCTGTTGGCACACCCCGACCAGTGCAGCCCGATGCCAGTTGTGTGACCGAGTGCCATGTACTGGGGTCATAATTGCAGAGAATAGGCAATGTGCAATTGATAAGGTGTGCTTATAGTGGGAGCAAAGACCATCATTATATTCCTGGAAAGTCAGCTAAGCCATTTCAACTTTTCCTTTTCAGTCCAGTGGATGCATGTTCACCCGTCCTACAGTTTCAAAAGTGCAGACTTCGACATACAAGATTTGTGTGTGTCAATATTCATACACACAGCAAAGGGCCAATTGAAGATCTGATTAGACCGCCCCCCCACCAAAGAAGGAAGAAGAAAGGAAAGGAAATCACACCTTTGCTGCTTTCAAATTCCCCACTCTTTGTGAATACATTACACGTTACAGAAAAATGTTATAAAAACGGTTCCACAGCCACGATTACATACCAATCAGTATGAATGGGAATAATACTGGTTTGGGAGAACACATACCCTGCGGAGCACAGAGAAACTGCAATCACCCAGAAGTGCCCTAAAGGTATATTTGAGGGAGAAATAAGAGCCAGAAGCAGGGGCGGAGGGATGCGCTGCATGATAAGCCCCACCCTCGTGAGCAGTTGCACCCCTGGGCTGCGAACTCCTTGCCCCCCCTTTCCAGGCACAATTCCCAGGGAGCCCCCCTGCTTACCTGTATGGGAGCGTAGGTGCCTTTTGAGGGCCGTGTGGCTGGGGAATGTGCGGTTGCACTCGCTGCAGATGTAGCTTCGCACGCCAGCATGCACCTCCATGTGCTGCTGCAGGGCTGTCTGCGTTTGGAAGCGCTTCCCACAGAGCAGGCAGAAGACGGCCATGTCCGAGCCTGGAGGAAGAGGGAAATGGAAGGTCATCTCCGCAAGATCAGCCTGGCCAGGTGTGCGTCCCCGGGAACCACTGCCTCGGGTTTCTCCTCCCCGTGTCTGGGACATGAACAGCTGCTTGTGAATGGCCCGGGACAGGGAGACATTGGCCAGCATTTCCACCACTTGTGAAGTTTAGCAATTGCTATGTGGATTGAAAAGTAAAGCCAGGAACAGGAGAACTTGGTTACTCCTATAAATGCTTTTGCGAGCGTTACCTATCTTCATAATTTCTTCTAATTTTGCTGATCTTGGGAAGAGGGTGAGAATTATGCATGGATCAGAAAAGAAGGCAGATTTTCACAAATCTGAATGCAGTGACTTTTCTGTCATCAAAGAATTCCTTCTCTCATTGTTGATCTTCACACAGTCTGCAGAGAACAGAGTCTGTTCCCCTCTTGGGGAGAAATGAAATTATGCACACTTGAGCAAAGAGGAACATTCAGCATTGAGAGCTTTCATCTCTCCATCTGTCTCTCTCTCTCTGTGTCTATCCGCCTGCCCACC